CTAATTCTGAAACCCAGATGCCCTGCAGCAGGACAGAGACCAGGCAGCTACAGCACAGCTCTTCAGAAGACACTGCTGGTCTAGATTCCGTGGAGCTTGCTGGAGTCTAAGAGCTTTCCTCCTCTCCCCCAAGCCATGTCCTACTGCCCCAAGGCAGCATATCTCCTGACCTCTGTGTGGAACTCCTGGAAGATGAACACTTCAATGCCCACTATGAGTTGATTGTTAAGGCTGTCTGCTCTTCTGGGCTTCTCCACTTACATACCTTTTCTCTGATTGGAGCCTTCTGATTTCTAATAAACCTTCTCAGCCTCTCTACTCTGTTCTGGCAAAGATAACCTTCCCTAGATTGACTCGCACGCCTCTCTTTGTGCTGGTCAATTTTACTTTGAACATCCTCCTTTATCTCCTAGCTACATTTCAAAGCTCTGTGACTTTGCTTTGATTTTGTTAATTCTAAAATAAATGGAAATGGAAGTATGTACAAGCACAGAACTTGAAAGAGTTTTGAGTCGATGAGTTTTGTTGTAAGTGACTCTTCATTCAAAATATAGAACGATTTCCACTAACCTAGAAAGTTCCCTCCTGGCTCCTCTTATTTAATCCCCTTCTAGAAGAAACCACTGTCCTGGTCTACTCATCTTAAACTTTGTATAAATAGAAGCACAGAATATGTACTTCTTAATGTCTAATTTATTTCACTAAACATGTTCCTGAAATTGGTCTGTGTTGTTGAGTATATCTGTAGTTGATTGCTATTGTCTTTAAGTTTTTACTGTTGAATTGTATTTCAGTGTATGAATATGCCAATATTGTGTGTTTCTAGGCTTTTGGATTCAACATCTGCAGCATATTTCCTTATCTTCTAACAAACAAGAGAGACATAAAATGGAAGTTCAGGACAATAGGAAAGGGAACATAAGGTCAGTGTGATGTGAGAGCTACGCCATTAGTTAATAAAAACTTTCTTTCATTTGCTCCGTCTGGTGACCTTCAAACACAGAAAACCCACCAAGTCTTCAGTTTCACAAGGAAGAAGAATAAGAGTCCATAATCAGGCATGTAGACCTCTAAAGAAAGGATATTTCTCTACTAGTTTATTGTTAGTACAAGAAAAACCTTTACTCATCTTTCAAGTACAACTCAAATGGCATCTTCAGTCTGAAGCATTTCCATAACCTTAAGGGAAAGTTACTCAAGCCCTCATTTGTGTTCTTACAACTCACACGAAACTTGGTTTCAGTTTTTACTGAAAAATTGTTTCATTTTTTACTATATGGGTTTCTTCACAGACTTGACTCCACTTTCTACCAAAGAAATTATACAACTCCTTAAAGAAAAGGTACCTTCTGGCACTTGGCACAATTATTACACACATGATGTAAACGAGCAAATGGATGACTGCCTGGATGGATGGATGGATGGATGGATGGATGGATGGATAGATGGATGAATGAATGGATGGAAGGGTAGGTGGATGAATCGGTGAATGGATGAAACAATATATGAAGAGGGCTGTATTGCTTATAAATTGAATGAACTGTCTGGTCTTTAGTAAGCTCCAGAAGTATCATGACATTGCTTTCTCCCCTTTTCCTGAATTCTCGTTAATTCCAGGAGTTTATATTATTCTACCTTCCAATATGTCTCAGTACCATCTAGAGAAGGTAGAACCTCCTAACCACAAGAAATGGGCTTCCTAATGCTTTGAAAGATATTTCCATAAGAGTCAGTGTTTGTGTGGAGTTACTGTTAATCTACGACCATGTAGTGCAAGAGACAATCTTGACTCAATGGAAGGCTTCCAGGTGCAGGACAGGCCTGAGTACTGAGAGTGACAGTGCTTCTGCTGTTAGCAGAAGGCTGGTTAAATATAGCCACACAGGTAACTGAAAGGTGATGCTGGGCCTAAAGGAGAGCTTTGTAATGCCACCAACAGCATCCTGGGCTCAGCTGTTTCTCACCCACCTCTCAGATGGTCCCAGCAGGAGACGAATCTGTGACTGTGATGTTTACAGTTAATTAATGTTTATTTATATTTTTAAGCAAGGCTTTCACTTACCACGCTTTAAAATAAATGTTCTGCTCTTCAATTAGAGGTTGTCAGAGCAGAGAGGAATCCTGTTTGTTACGGGTGGAATGTGTGTATGTTTAAAATGTGTATCAGGGTGAAACCTCTTTTTCTGTAAGTCTCTCGCTCCTGCCAGAGGCTGAGGCTTCTTACTTAGAGAAACATACTTTTCAAGATCTTGACTTCAAGATCGGTGCTCTGTTATGCATGAGGTCCCGGGTAGGGACTTTCCAAGTGGTGCTAGTGGTAAAGAATCTGCTGCCAGTGCAAGAGATAGAGGTTCAGTCCCTGGGTTGGGTGGATCCCCTGGAGTAGGAAATGGCAACCCACTCTAGAATTCTTGCCTGGAAAATTCCATGGGCAGAGGTGCTTGGCCAGCTACAGCTCACAGGGCAAAGAGTTGGACACAACTGAGCACACATATGCAGGCCATGAAGCTACTTCTAGCAGATTACAGGGTCTCCTTGGATGGGGAATGTGAGTTAGCATGAAAACATGGCACATTTTGACCAGTGTAGAACTAGTGTTCTTAAGGGAAAAGGATGTGCTTTGTCCTTTTCAATAAAGCATTGACTCAACAAGCCTGAAGTATGTATACCCTATATTCTCCAAAGAAAGGTCTGACACTGGACTGGCTCCTTGGAGCCCACGTTGACATCCATGGAATATCCTGATAGATAAGAGAGTCTTTCTTTACCTGGGACATTGGGCCACATTAGAAGGTTGATGCCATGTGATCTACGGTGGGGTTCTTGGGCCACAAAGTGTCAGCTTGACCTCTGAAGAGCCTGAAGACTGAGATCAGCCACGTGGACACCAGGGCTACAAAATGAGTTCTGAGGACTACCCTGGTGGCTCAGTGGTTGAGAGTCCACCTGCCAATGCAGGGGATGAGGGATCGATCCCTTGTCCGGGAAGAACCCAGTATGTCTCAGAGTAATTAAGCTCATGTGACACAACTACTGAAGCGCGTGCACCTAGAGCCCATGCTCTGCAACAAGAGAAACCACCGCAGTGAGCAGCCCAGACTCTGCAATTATAGAGTAGCCCTCACTTGCCAAAACTAGAGAAAGCCGGCGTAGCAGCAACAAAGACCCAGTGCAGCCAGTGTATAATGACCCTTGATGAAACCCGTCGTGGCTCAGAGGAGCGTCCTTGTCTGGCAACACCCTACCTGTGATCACACGTCATAGATGGAGAATTAAGCACTGTCCATACAACTGCCCTGGGAACAGACACCTGGACTTAACACATCCCCTCAAAGAATAAGTGATGAAGAGAGAAGGGGTTGCAGGGTGGAAAGCCAGATCAACTCTGCTTCCTGGTGATCCCAAGGAAATCATTTGACCTCTTAATATTTTTGAGGTTCAAGTAAGCTTCTAAATTAGATATTCACCCATTGCTTCACTGGATAGTCACTGAATGTGCCACTGTTTTAATCATATAGTATATGGTCAGAAAGTGGTTAATGGTGGAGATGACTGTTTGAATCGGTCCATGTGTGAGCTTCTGCAAATTAGTTTAAGCTCCTTCAGTGAGGTAAGCACTCTAAATCTGTACATATGCCCTCTGCACTTTTGCAGATAGATATGTTCATAGTTTGTAGTCCATAAATGATTACTTTCATACAGTTATGTCACTAGTATTACCTCCTATCTTATCTTAAGCCTAAGCCTCTGAATGTTGTTTTTCATCAATTGCACATTTACTATAGGCTCGAGAGAAAAGCCTACACATGAAAGTGCCCAGAACAGAGACAGAATCATCTTTGGAACTTAATAAGTACTAGTTGAATATGGGAGAGGGAAATGGCAACCCACTCCAGTGTTCTTGACTGGAGAATCCCAGGGACAGGGAAGCCTGGTGGGCTGCCGTCTATGGGGTCGCACAGAGTCGGACACAACTGAAGCGACTTAGCAGCAGCAGCAGCAGCAGTTGAACATGAATCTGAACACCTAGAGAATTTTTTACTATTTGATAGGCATATACATTTTCTTTCTTGATGAATAACTGGAAAAAAAAAAAAAGAGACCCAGGAAATGGGATGAAATGAAATGCAATTTTTTGCCCAGGTATCAGCAACGAATATTGAACTCCTGGTTTGATCTTGTTGTCAGTTAAATGGTTTCCCAAAAAGACACACTCAAGCTCGAATTCCCAGTACCTATGTATGTGATCTTATTTGGAAAAAGATTCTTTGCAGATGTAACCAATTTAAGGGGAGCCCATACTGAATTAGGGTGGGCCCTGGTTCACTGTGGGCTTCCCAGGTGGCGCAGAGGTAAAGAATCTGCCAGCCAGTGTAGGAGATCCAGTTTCGATTTCTTGGTTGGGAAGGTCCCCTGGAGAAGGAAAGAGCAACCCACTCCAGTATTCTTGCCTGGGAAATCCCATGGACAGAGGAACCAGGTGGTCTACAGTCCATGGGGTCACAAAGAGTCAGACATGACTGAGCACGCATACATTAGTCCAGTGACTGCTATGCTGATCAGAAAAGATAAATTTTTACCCAGACACACAGAGCGAAGATGGCCCTCTGAAGACAGAGGCAGAGAATGGAGCTGTGCTCCCACAAGCCAAGGATGCTAAGGACCGCTGGCCATCACCAGAAGCTAGGACGAGGCAAAGAAGGCTTCTTTCCCAGGGTCTTCGGAGACACTGGGGGCTGCTGACATCTTAATTTCAAGACTTCTAGCCTCCAGAAATGTGAAACATAGGCTGCTGTTTTGTTTTGGTTTTTTTTTTCAATCTATACAGTTTGTGGTATTTTGCTATGTCAGCCTTAAGAAATGAATATGCCCCCATCACAGCTTGTCATACACAGGTCTTGGGCTTGCGTCTGGTTTTCCTGCCTGGACAGAAAGTATTCTGCCCCCTGGAAGGTGGAAGGAACCAGCCAAGAGCATGGAAGCAAAAGGAAGTGACTCACCATGGGACTCCGGCCGATGCTGCCCAGGTAGTGGAGGAGTCCTTTGGCATGGTAGATTGTGGGCTGGAGATGAGCACTGGGAGACAGCCACTGTCTGTTCAAGTCCTCCCCTCTCAGTGAGCATCTGTGGCTGTGGGAACAATTAACAAGCAAATAAATACACATTTAGAAGAAAATAACTTGAGAAAATAAAGCTCAACAAGACAAACAATCAAACTAATGAATCCAACTTCCCTCTGACTTCTGCTCAATTGGCATCCATTGAAGATGCCCAGAAAGATGCAGATCCCAATGTGTCGTGATTATTCACAGCTCCCCAAAGAACTGGAAACCATATTTAACTTGATTCAGGGCCACCAGAGTTTGAAGATGAAGTTTGGGAAATATTTTTCTCCACTACCTGCTTCTGAGGAGAACAAATTCAATAAATTTCTCTAGACTCTTCAGTTCCACAAATAATCATTATTAATAATAAGTTGAGATCAATATATCATGCTGAGCATGTTACATATGATCTTTCTAGCTGGCCCAATAATTCTGCCAAGTGGATATTATTGCACCCCAGTGAAGACAGTGACACTTAGAAATGCTTAAATAAATGCCCCCAAATCACATAACTTAAGAGTTAGGCTTTCCATCCAGGTCTGTTTCCCTCTGAGAAACAGCATAGGGTCTTTCTCCTATCACGTTAACTCCACCCTATCCATAGAGATGCCACAGAAAGCTTGACATTTACTCAGAAAGCTGGAGTGTCATTTTCAGAGACATCATCATGGATTATTAGCTCCAGAAATGAGCTCAAAAATCATACTTGTCCTCATTTGGGAAAAGAGGATGTTCACATTTGAAAGTATCAAGTCTCTCTACAAAGGTGACACAGCTGGTTAGTGAGAACAGTGACTGCACTTCAGAGGGAAGGAAGCTGAGATGCTGAGTGGTGGGTAAAGGGAACCTTAAAAGCCCGGGTCCACCAGCAATTACCAAGGGCAGCCCCTTCTCTAGGGAGGCAACCAGAAGTCCTGCTGAGATGTTATTTATTCAACAGGCTGACAATCAAGGTACCAGAGATTAAGAGGAAGAAGAGCAGCATCTCCATCACCTCGTCCTTCCATCCTCCCTACCCCGATCCCTAATACCACCTCCTGCTGCCCTCTTCCTTCTCTTTTTTAAAGCATAATTTTATTTATTTATTTATTTTTGGCTGCCCTGAGTCTTCGCTGCTTTGCTCGGGCTCTTTCTAGTTGCAGTGAGAGGGTGCTGCTCTTCACTGCCGTGCGAGGGCGTCTCATTGAGGTGGCTTCTCTGCAGGGAACAGGCTCTATGCGCGCTGGCTTCAGTAGCTGCAGCTCGTGGGCTCAGCTGTTGTGGTGCATGGACTTAGTTGCTCAATAGTATGGAACTCACGTCCCCTGGATTGGCAGGCAGATTCTTTACCACTGAGCCACCAGTGATGTCCTGCCCGTGTCCTTCTGTGCTTCAACTTAACCAAACTGTACACCACTCTCCCTGAGAAATCATGCCTGCTGGTCTCACTGCCAGGACTCCCCAAAGCTTCATCCTTTACCTCTTCGACATTCAGGGGTCACTTCTTCAGGGAAACTTTCCCTGATCCCCAGACCCTTACATTCTGCCACTGCTAAATACATTGCAACAGCATCCTCAGAGTTACCATAGAATCTTTTTGGATGGTTTTTATGCATCTATTTTTGTTTCTTTCACCTTTGTTTTTCAACTGTAAGCTTCCTGGGGGCAGAAACGGTTTCTCTGTTACCATCTAGACCCAAATATTGTAACTCTGTCAGAGCTGGTATTAGTAAATACTTTGGAATGAAAAATGTACTAATATTTAAATGTAGAATCAAATGCTTTTTCTGTTTAAAGAAAAAAACACTATTTTCAATAAATCTTGGAGGTGGAAGGAAAAAGGTTCAGCCTCCTCCTTTCAGCACTTTTTAATCTCATGTTTCTGAAATTATCTTTAAATATTGGTTTCCTCCTGCTTGTCAGCCCCTCTTCCAGCTCACTGGAAACTGAAAATCTTTAGATTAATCATTTATCCTGATTTCACCATTAAAATATTTTGACTTGAGAAATGGTAGGCTTGTTGCATCTTCCTCTATGACTTTTATTCTCTTCTTGCTTTACACCCCGCACCATCCTCTTTTTAATAGCAATGACATTTAGAAATAGGGCTTCTGCCTGGCGACCAAGGATGAAGATAAAATACAAAGCAGATCTTTCAAAAGAAGCAAATAGCAATGGAAAGAAGCTGGTGTCCCAGACTTTCTCCTAAGCCTATCTGTTATGTTTAAATGAATTTCTTTTCTCAAATCAAAGTACTTGCCAGCACAACATCCCAGAGTCTCAGAATTTTCTCTAACTGCTCTGTGATTCTGCCTTGACCTGGATTCTCATCAACAGTGGGGATTTCTTTTTTTTTCTTTGTAACATCAAAAGTAATGAAATCAGTGGAGGCCCCTTAAAAGTAATTCTGTTTGTAGCAATAAAAATGCACGCTTTCTCTGTGACCAGTAGCCAGCAATTCCATGAAATGCTCTCTGCCTCTGCTTTCCTTCTGTTCCACAGAGATCAAGCTCTCGAGTGATGCCCACGAGGAAAAGAGCCAGAGGTTGCCAATGGCAGATATACCATTCTAGACAACAGTTCTTCAAAATGTAGGGGCAGGGTGGAGTTTTGTGCTGCAATCAGAATAAGCCTGAGTGTTGGTTAAAAAGATCGAGTCTCAACTCTCAGCTTTGTCACCAGATAAGGGGACTGGGGGCTTCTGAGAGTCAATATTGTCATATGCAAAAGGATATAGATATTCCTACTCTACCTCTCAGGATTTTTTTGAGGGTTAAATGAAATGGTCTCTGTTTTAGATATCTCCATGGAGAAACTATGTAACTCTATCTCCACCACTGTCTATGTCCACGCCATGTCTACATCTATATCCACATGCATAATCTCTATTTCTCTCTGTATCACATCCTCATCTTCAACTATAATGCTCAGGGATGCAAAGCACCACTTGGATTATGTTCATTCATTCTTTATCTCATCCTAACACTTTTCCTTATGAATAATCATCAGAGAACTGTATGCACTTTGATTGGAAGGGAGAAGAATCTTGACTGGGAACCTCAAATAAGAGGCAGTGGTTAGTTTTTAAATTCAAGCTGACTTGAACACACTTAAGAGTGGAAACCATGAGGCTGAAGAGAAAAAGAGTTATCTAAGGGATGGTACAGATGAGGCTGTTTGCAGGGCAAGAACAGAGACAGACACAGAATGAATATGTGGACACGGTGGCAAGGGGAGGGAGAGGCAAATTTGGAGAGCAGGATTGACACGTGTACAGTGTCGTGTGCTAAACAGAAAGCTAGTGGGGAACTGCCATAAAGAACAAGGAGCTCAGATCAGTGCTGTGTGAAGACCTGGACGGTGGGAGGGTGGGGGAGGCTGAGGGGAGGGGGTATGTACATGTATAGATGATTCACTTTGTTGTATAGCAGAAACTAATACAATTTGTAAAGCAATTTTCAATAAAAAATAAAATGCTGTCTAAGGAAAAAAATGCAAGGATATAACAATATAAATTGCTAAACAGACTATTTAATAGTACCAAGCAGGCCATTAAATTGTACCAAGGGAAGGATGGCTTCTAAGATTGACTAGGTGTGCAGATTTGGGGAGAAACTGGACTCATCTGAGACTTAAGCAAGTCTTTTTTCCTATTAGTTGGGAGAAAATTTTGCTGGTGTTTCAGGGGCGGAGACAACAATGCATTCCTTAGGTCTATCTAGGTGGCATGAACTTGGGAAACCCATATGTATTTGTATTCAGTGTTCTCTGTGTGGTTATGATTTTGAGAGTATCCCTGTGTGTGCTTATGGCTTCAGCAGTTCCTAGATTTCTGCAATTTCACATTATTACACCAAGTACTGTGCCTAACTCGAGTGCTGCTCCTTTTAAAGCAAATGCATTTTCTTCCAATCTCCGAATCCATTTAGCATTTTGCGTTAATGACATCAGCAGTTCATTCAGTCGGAGGAATTGCTGTGGCTCTTCCTGGGGATTTGTTTTAAGCATTTGACGATGAAATGCACCCCATCTTATTATCTACTGTAGCATTTCTGAAATGACAGCTGCTGCCTCTATGTGGAGAAAATTAGCAGATGGACAGCTATGACTGGCTGGCAATAAATTCAGCACCTCTAATTTCCAAAAAGGGGTCATCTCTCAAATAGAGTTTGAAGTCCTGCTTTGCTTCTAAAGAGAGGAAAATGGTCAGCAGTGCTATCTTTTTTCCCCACTGAAAAACTGCAGACTTACAGAAGGAGGGAGGAAACACTTCCTTTTGATTTTCACAAAGGAAGTCATTTGATTCAAATAGTCCTCCTGGATTTTTTTGTTTGTTTGTTTTTAAAACAAAAGCATTGGTTTAGGAGAGTGTCAAACAGAGTGAAGTTAAGTCAGAAAAAGAAAAACTTCATATATGAATGCATATATGTGGAATCTATGAAAATGCCATAGATCAACTTATTTGCAAACCAGAAATAGAGACAAATGCAGAACAAGCGTGGATACCAAAGGGGATAAAAGGGGGAGGTGGGAAGAATTGGGAGATTCAGATGGATGTGTGCACACTCCTATGTATAAAACAGATAACTACTGTGTAGCACAGGGAACTCTAGTCAGCTCTTTGTCACCACCTGAATGGGACGGAAGTCCAAAAGGAAGGGGGTGTGTGTGCACACGTGCGTGTACATGTACACCTGTGGCTGATGCACTTTGCTGCGCAGTAGACATTGTAATGCAACTTTCCCGTTTAGTCACTAAGCTGTGCCTGACTCTTCTGTGATCCCACGGACTGTACCTGCCAGGCTCCTGTGATCATGGGATTGTCCAGGTAAGAACACTGGAGTGGGTTGCCATTTCCTTCTCAGGGGATCTTCCCAACTCATGTATCGAGCCTGCATCTCTTGAGTCTCCTGCATTGGCAGGCAGATTCTTTACCACCAAAGAATCTGTGCCACCTGGGAAGCCTCTCTGAGTAGTTTACATGTATATTATGAGCCTGCTCTTTTTCGGTTATTTGCAGCATATGTCTAGGATATCTC